ATACGTAATGAATCCAGCATTACCCTTCAATTCAATGAATTCGTTTATCAGGACAGACAGAAATGACAAAAATATAATTCTAATGTGAAATGATTCAGTACAATATGAATATCGTCGCTTAATCGGACGCTTGGGATTGCGTTCGTTTTCCACACGTTTTAAAAGTAATTCAGTGAATTAAATGCATAGTGAATGTGCTCTTCAATCCTGGGAAACGATGAATCATGTCTCACCTCATCGACGTCCTCGGCTCTGATTCCAGCTGGTTTCATCGAAAGAACCGTTCCACTTCCGTAGCGACCTTCTGGCATCAGGGATTTGTAGAGTGGATATGGGAAGGTTGGAGCGTGATTCGATGATTGTTTCGAAGATGATGGAGTGGGCAGAGGTATTATCCCTGAACTGCTTTGCTTTACCGTTCTGGAGTCGATATCGTTTGGTGTTGTAAGACTCTGTGTGGGTTTCAGGACACTAGAAAGAGTACTGTCAAGATTTTCCTCTTCGGTCACTCGATTATCAACTGACGGCTGAATTTCCGATGTAACAGGCGATTCCAAGGAACTCACTGTAGATGCCTGAATTGCATATTTATTGAGGAATTACAAGGCAAAATTCGTATGCCAACAAAAAGTCCATCAATCGAACTCACCTTATCAACATGTGACAAATCTTCCGTCGATGATGGACTAGCGACCGTTGGATAGGCTATTAAAACGACCACTTCGGCTTCAGTCGATTTTCCTTCACCGTTTCGGTCTGTTGCAACCACCTGCAAACATGTGATCACTATCATATCAACATTCGGCATAGATAGCATTGCCGTTCAACCAAACAGATCAATAAACATTGCAGTGCCCTTTCTATCAACGATGAATGAACTCAACATTATCGTAGAGCATGTTGCAACTCATCAAATTTCTAAAAAGTCGACAATCCGGCTATTTCAAATCAATTCATCAGATACTGTGCAGAGAGTTTATGCTGATGTGCTTCATCGTGATCACAAAAATACGAGGATCGGTAAATAAGATATGTATTTGTACACGAAATGAAGCACACTGTCGAATTTCCATAGGAATTGTCCGCTGATCGTAAATATTTAACTAAAGTTCACCTTGAACGTATAATTTGTCTTCGGCGCGGAGTTAGCGAGATCACAGTTGAATGTTAATGAACCGCGTTCTGAATCAATGGCGAAACAGTGAGCATCCTTTCCTTTTAATGAGTAACGAATTTTTGCGTTCTCGCCATGGTCACCATCACGAACAATTATTCTCTGTAATAAGTTGAAAGCTCATTTGAAGATATGCTATACGCCGATATGATCACAGATCGAAAACTTTCATTTTAAGGTATTACTGCGAGAATGCACTTCTCAAACATTCGACATTGATTGCAAATCCATATAGTTTGTTCACTATTCTGTAGTCTGTTACAATTCAGTATTCTATAGTTTTTCTCCGAAATCAATGGAAATCGGACCTATTCAGAAACAACCTAATGAGTAAATGATTGATTTCCAATGTAGAATGAGGCTGTGACTCACCAATGGAACTGGGTATGGTATGACGGCATCTGAGGGAAGTATAACTGAGTAGTCGTTCTGGTTGAATACTGGTGCATGATCGTTGGTGTCGATCAGAGTGACGATAACATTCGCAAATGCTGTTAATGGCGGTACACCCGTATCGGTGGCTAGTACCAAAAATGTATAGCGTTCGTATTCCATCGAATAGTTGAGCGCTTTTTTCACCGACAATTTTCCACTCTGAAAGCGCAAATTGTTTCATTGATTTTCGCGAATTCGTTTTCGCAGCAAACATCTAAGGATTCAAGTGCATGCAGGGGCCACTAGAATATTTAACAGTATGGAAACGCTCTGTATCTAGCGGTCTGGAACGCTTAATTAAGCTCAAAAACAGCAGAAGTGTACATAGTTTTTTGCTCATAAACTAATGGTTGTTCATTAGAACCTTTTAGCTTTCGAGAGGATTTCGAAGTCTATTATTGGGAATGTCTTCTCAACGAATTATTCTTGTGCAAATGATAAATCAACAAACCTTCGGATCAATTGCGAAAAGACTTCTATAGGATTTGGGTTCAATGCTTAGAGTGATTTCATCATTATCTGCATCGGTAAATTGCACCTCTCCAATCGCACCAACAAAACCCTCGTTGACAAAAAATTCATACGTATCATTCGTCGGAATTGGTGCATCATTGAGACTTGCGTGGGTAACGCTGAAACTTTGTGAAACATTGACTTTCGTGGAACTTTTTACTGGTAAATTATGCCTCTAGCAAAAACTCTAAACTGTCAAGTGTTCACAATTTGAGTGAATGTCGCGATTGATGAGTTTGATTCCGCACTCAAATTCCTTGTAAATAATTTTGATCTCATTGCACTATTATACGACTGTTCAATAGGACACAATTTCTCGCTGCTAAGATAGTTGCAGACAATGGGCATTGTATAGGCGCTAAGTTGATCGTTCTTATGAAATGCAACGCCTAACACAATTTTGTCAAAATGCTTCGTCAAATGTTGTAGAATGCATCTTGAAATCGCCAAATAATTTGAGTATTACAGATCATTTGGGCAAACTCACGACTGAGAGTTGTTATGGGTGGCAGCCGTATTATTGGACTCGTAAATTTCAATGCTAGCAATGACAGTCGATGAGTGAATGCCATCGCTAACATCAACTGCAATCTCGTACAAACCAGACTTGCGTTTATCAACACCTACTGCGAACGATATCGCACCAGTATTATTGTCGACTGCAAACATTCCGGTTGGGTCTAAATTGATACTATAAGACAATTTCGATTTCAGATCATCATCTTCTGCTCGCACGGTCAGCAATGGAAAGCCAACAGGCAAATCCAAAGGTACCTGTAAACAGAACACTGCATTAAAACACCAAAATTATCATTTGACAAAAAAAAAACCGAATGTTTATCAGCTAACTTTCCAATTCATAGACCTCAACCATCCATATCTTTACGTGGAAGCAAATCGACTAAGCAATTTTGATGGTCTGGCAAGAATTTCATTCGTTACTGTACTGCTCGTAATGCGATCAGTATCTGGCAAAAAATGCTTGCAGTGCACTCGATATCACTGCTATTACCTCTTATCTATCAGTATTTCTCGCAGAAACCTTCGCGATATTTTCTTAGGTATCTCTGTTAATGGGTCTATCTCGTCAAGGAAAGTTGATCCATTTCGAGCAAACATTCAGAACGTGAAGTTTTAAGAATGGTGAAATTCAAAAATTGAAAAGCGATGAACTGTGCAGGCATGATGGAACTAATTACAACTGATCACATGCAAGTGAAAAAGTTAATCACGAACATTTTGTTCGTATTCATCCTGAATAAAGAATGGTGGTGAATCGTTTTCATCGATCACATTCACCACAACGGTCGCAATCGAGAAGAGCGCTGGTGTGCCGTGATCTCGTGCTTCAATCGTTAGCGTGTAACGCGGCGTCTTTTCACGATCCAACTCATTGATCACACTCAGCTCAGCCTTCAAACAACACAAACTATCTTTATCCACTTTGTAATGTTCATTTTCAACGATTATTTCAAGAAGATGCTTCATCTAACATATCGTTTTGGCTTGATGTAAAGCCGAATTTTTAATCACTAAGTATTCCATCTAGATGAAATGAATGAGGTGAATTGCTGAATTGAGGAGAATTGTTGAATCGTTGTTATTGTACAATATGCTGTGCGATTGTACCCTATCGCCGACATTCAATCTTTCGAGCTTTTCATGCGGTAAATTGTTGCACGAACGGACAAAAGAACAGAATGGAAACCTTGTTATGTGGTAGTGATTTCAGGTTGAATGAATTGTTCTGATTGCCTTGAATAAGGCTGAACACAACCTCGCCATTCTGATCAGCGTCTGCGTCAGTCACCGAAATAACGAATTTTTCTCCAACATGTTCCCGGCCTGAATCATTCATTCTGATTTAGTTTGTTTTTACTCACATTTTAATCAGATATTCGATGACTATCAGAAGAAATCAGTTTGTTCGAAACCATATCGTCTAATGTCTATTGAATGGAGCTTGCTGTCCAAAGAATCCATCAATCCAACCAGTCTTTTACCACTTTCCACTCATATCAAATACTGCTCCATTGTTGACATCATTATCGTAGATTAAGGAAAATCATCAACATCGCTATATTTTTGCTCACCTTCTGAGACGTTCCACATCAAAGGCTCCACAAATTTTGGTTCGTTATCGTTGATGTCCTCCACATGTACCAGAACCTTGGTTTCTGCCTTCAAATCACAATATACAACACTATAAAAACTGAGCACACTACGCCATTACATTGTCACTATTGAGTTGAGTGCGATTAATTCTGATACAAACGAGAAGAATGGCAAACAATGATATGAAAAAATCCAAATTTCAGCAATATCGCAGAGCAAGAGATCGAGAGAGGTTATCAGCTCAGTTCAAACTTACTGACCGAGTTTCCACCTCTATCAGCAGCCGTTACTGTCAAATTGAAGGATTTTGTTGTTTCGTAATCTAAACGACCAGCATCTGATTTGAATATTGATCCATTGTTCATAATCACAAACATCGATCGCTCGTCACCTGTTGTAACATTGAGCGTATTCATTATCAGATTTCTTCCGAATTGGACTAATATCAGTTAAGGTCTAAGCCGATTTCAGGAAAATGTAAGAGAGTATATCAGATGAGCATTTGCGAACACTACAATTTGATCACTTCGCTGGGATGGCAAAGCAGACATAATGCTGCATTGTTAATGCTTATCCAGTCTACATTCCTTGTAATCTGAGCAGCATCAGACCAAGATGTAATCATAACATGGCTAAATGAGTATCGCTCCTTATAGAAACATGAGTATTGTTGCCTTATGTGGTGAACGATACTGGTTTATCAGATCAAGAAATTAATTTGATATATATTTACAATCAGCCAAACGAAGCGAACCTTCTGTAATTCGGTATGTCAGTCGATTGCCCTCAGAGATATCCTCGTCGAAAGCATGCACAGTTCCGATCGTTTGGCCTGGTTCGATGTTCTCAGGCGCATTGAACTCATACAAAAGACGATCAAACTTCGGTGCGAACTCATTCACATCCTCAATCTTGATTTGAATAGTGGCATTCGCTTCGTCTTTGCCGCTGTGTGCGAAAACCTGTCAAACGAGACGAGTTCACTTGTCAGAAACATCCACAAAAATGTCAATTTATGACAACTTTAAAATGAATTGCACTATGCACATGGAAATCAATATCACCATGAACAATTGCGCACAAAATGAACTACACTTCATCGTAAGACCGGTAGGACTGCAAAAGATCCATCCAAAAATATTATAAGTGAAGCGACATGACCATATTGGGGCAAAATTGATAAAGTCTGATTAGAGAGGCGAATGTCTCATTAGCAAACATATACTGAATATTCAAGTTTCAGCCACACAGACTGTGAATATCGCATTGTTCATAAGAAACCTGTGCAGAAAAGCTGACGGAAAACAAAAAGAGTTATCTGAAGAAGGCAATTCTATCGAATTAAGTATTATTATCAGAGGTTCAAACATACGATCATTTGGATGATTCCCCTCGAATCGCGCGACAATTTTTCCGCATCAATCGGCTGGAGCGCCCTTATAACGCCATCGTCATCAATTGAGAAGAGATTTGCTGGTATTAACCCGTATTTGACATCGTCGTAAGCGGCACGGTTACCTACAGTAACGGTCGTATTCAAAATCGTTCCGGCTGGCGAGTTTTCCCGAAGAAGCAAGCGATAGAGCTTGATCGGAAACGAAAAACCTTGATCATCATTCGATACACTCAATGCCACCTGAAAAGCTATCATCTTATACCATTCTCATGCACAGTTGCATTGCTCTTGAGAAATTCATCTCTCATGTATTCATGAGAATTACACCTACCTCGAATGCGGACAAAAATTTGAGAAAAAAATTAAACGATCGGCCAAATTGATGACAAATTCGATGAAAAATGTTATGTGTATAGAATACGCAACGTACGCCAACGTCTGAGTAGTAGTGTGGGTAATCAGCGTTCCTTGCACGTACTACTGTGAATACAGTCGGCTTGTCACGATAAAGATCAACGAATTCTTTGGATGCGTATAAGTCACCCTGAAAATTTGGTTTCATCCGTGACTCTCGACGAGGAAATCGTTCACAACATTTAACAGGGCATTCGCAAAGGACCGTTGGTGAGATATTTAGCCCAATGGCGCAGGATCGAAGTTAGCAGATACTAGTCGAAACAAATGTACTCAGTGGCACTGCAGAAGAATTGTATGAATTCAAAGTTTATCCAGGCAAATTCACCACTAAAAACGTCTTTCGTT